TGGTCAAGATTCAAAATTTAATGTTTTAATTAACTCTTTTTTTAATTTACTTCGTTTATACCAGTTTATAATTTAAATTTTTATAAAAAAAAAAATTTACTCAAACACAACTATAAAACTACGCTTGGCACGAATAGGTACCTACTTCTAGTCTCTTATTCAGCTTTCTGGTTATGCTTGTTCTCTTCAAAAGACCTCACAAGAGCACAAGAGGAGGTGTGAATGGGTAGTGGGTATATTCAGGGTTCGTCCATAATAGGACCCTGGTGTGGACCTGTTTAGCTTGGAGGTCATGGAAGAGATGGATATCTACTTTTTTCAGTGAATCAAAATTGAAACAATAATATGTCTTTGGAGTCCCATTCTGTAACACACCCCACTTGTCATTTTCATTTCCTTCAAAAGCCATAAGATTTATCGCTTTCAATACAATTCATTGCCAACTAAACCTTGTACTCTAAAAGCAAGTGAATTTCTTTTATGGACCACTGTGCATATGTCTCTTTTAAAGAACAATTAGATCATGGCATTATTGTAGCTACATTATTAGTTTGTAGCCGACTCTCTAAGGCCTGTAGCAGTTACTACCATCTACCATTCTTACATTTTACAACCCACCTCGATGCTCTTTTGTCCTTTCTTGTGTCGTCGCGTATTGTTGAAAAACCCTACAGCCCAAAAAGAGAGAAGCAAAAAGCAGAAGGAGCAAAGAGATGGAAACCCAATTTTTGTCTCGTGCATTTACATGCAACTCCTGTTTGCATGGACTATGGTCCCCTCCTTCCAAAGCCCACAAAGTAAAACCCCAACCCCAACTGATCCCATAATTTTGCATAATAGAGGGTAAAACCACAACCACCTCTCCCTCAATAAACAAACATCTGCCTTTTATTATTATTATTATTTTTATAAAATTAATAATTTTAATAATAAAAAATAAAAATATTTTAAAAAATATATTTATTTGTTTTTAAACATGTTCTTATTAGTTATTTAATGTTAAACAACAATCGCTAACTATTGTATAGTCAAACAATTATATTTATTGAATCTACTATTTACCATTCGCTACTCACTTTTCGCTATTTGTCACCCACTACCCGCTATCTACTATCTGCTATCCGCTATCTGCTATCCGTTATCTGCTATCTGCTATCTACTATCTGCTAAATTTTAACCGCTATACCAAACATGCCCTTAAACTAACATGTAGCCTAAAAAATAAGAGAGAAAATTCTCATTTTCTTATTTAAGGTTAAATACTTAATATAAAAAGAAATAGAAATATAAGAACAATTTTTTTATAATTTTTTATAAAACTTTTATGTGTTATTAAATAAATAAATATATTCAATATTACATATTATAAATACATAAATAAAGTTAATCATTTAAATAACATGTAAAATTATATGAAAAATAGTATAAAAATTATATTCAAATATTTTTTTATAAAAAATAATTCATTATAGTGTAAAAAATTATTTCTAAATATTTCTGAAGAGGTTTGGTTTAGTTTGAAATTTTATAGTTTTTTTTTGTTTAAATTCTTGCATTAAATCCGGTTAGTGGTTTTAATTTTTTACACTATAAGGAATTAATTTTTTACAAAAAAAATATTCAAAATAATTATTCATATTATTTTTATATAATTTTACATGTTATTTAAATAATTAACTTTTTTTTATTCATTTGAAACATATGATATTGCATACATTTTTTTATTTAATAATGTATAAAAACTATATAAAAATTATATCAAACATTATATAAAAAAATTGTCTCAATATTACTTTCCCTTTTTTAAATTAAGCATTTAACGTTAAATAAGGAAGCGAGAATTTTCTCTCCCATTTTTTAAATCATATGTTAGTTTAAGTGGCGCCACACAATAGTTTACGTGGCACCATGCAATTAGAAATGTGAAGTTCTATCAATGTGGTTAACGAAGTTGCATAAGGTAAACAAAAATAAAATTGTTTTGAAAGGTAATAGATGAATTTGAAAAAAAAAAAATAAAGATTTTAGAGTAAAATAAAAAAAAAAAAAAGATGATAGTTAGTAGATGATTTCTTAAATTAAACCGATAATCCTAAGACCACGTTTGGTTACTTATGATAATTGTTTTGGTGGGAATATTCTACTATTATTATTCTAAACAGTAAAATTTTAATGTTTGTGCATATTATTTGTGCTTAATCATTTGTATTATTTATGATTATTATTTATAATTCAAACACTCATATTCATTCTTTTAGAATAAAAAAAAAAGTTATCAGTTGTTCTCTACCATCTAAACCAAACAGCATCTAAAATATATGAACAAAATACCTGAGATGATGACCTAATAGACCACAAAAAGAGTTTAGACTTTAGAGGCTTTTAATCAAGAATTTAGCAAAGTTCAAGGGTTAGAAGGACGTTTTTCCGTATCCGTTATTTCGTTCGAGAACACAAGAACTGTGGGATTTAAGGGTTTGTGTTGTGAACCTTGTAGGGTTTACAAAGGTTTTGATCTTCTTCACAATTTCGCAATTCCGGGATTCTGGGTCGATTTCCGTTATGTTCACGCCGCAGAGGAAGCCGTGGACGCCGATAACCCCACGGAGCGAGGCCCATAGAGCGGGGTTCTCGAACTCCAGGAGCACCATTGCTGGGAAGGGGAAGGCTGTTATGTTCGCCGATGATCCGCCGCAGCTTCCCCCGCCGCCGGTGAACTCTCTTAATGTCAAAGGGTCTCTAAAAGCGGTGGCGGATGGGGAGGATGTTGATGACTGGAAGCGATTCAAGGAGGCTGGGTTGTTGGACGAGGCTGCCTTGGAGAGGAGGGACCGTGAGGCTCTCGTTGAGAAATTATCCAAGCTCGAACAGGATGTGAGTCTTCAATTTGACTGTGTGATGAATAGGGCATATGGGTTTTCGTGAATTAATTTTCTTGGTTGATATTCAATTTTTTTTTTCCTTTTTTTTTTGCAGCTTTTTGATTATCAGTATAATATGGGACTTCTCCTTATTGAGAAGAAAGAGTGGACTTCCAAGTGTGAAGAACTAAAACAAGAAGTAGCTGAAGCCGAAGCGATCTTCAAACGTGAGCAGACTGCTCATCGAATTGCACTATCTGAAGCTGAAAAGAGACAGGAGAACTTGATGAATGCCCTAGATGTCGAAAAGAAGTGTGTTTTAGATGTATGTTTGTTTTCTCTTTGAAACCATGTGGGGCTTTGTCCTTATCTTTTGCCTTTGTTTATGTATTCCGTTGAATTATTTATTGCCATGGCCACTTGTTTCCAGAATTTCTGCTGTGTTTTTCGACAGGGAGTCTTTAGCTCTTCGAATAAATTTTTAATGTGTGTGGTGAATTTTCTTTTAATCATAACATTCTGGTTGAATCATGTTGCAGCTTGAGAAGGCACTGCGTGATGTTCAAGAGGAACAGGGCCAGGTCAAGCAGAGTTCGGAGTTAAAGTTGGCCAATGCAAATTCTATGGTTGTTGGAATTGAAGAGAAATCCTTGGAGGTTGAAAAAAGGATGTGTGCTGCTGAAGCCAAGATAGCAGAGGTGAACGGGAAAAATATAGAATTGGAGATGAAACTGCAGGAGTTGGAGGCTCGTGAAAGTTTGCTCCAGAGGGAGCGCTCCTCCTTAGCTACAGAGTATTCCCCATTTTTGACCAGCTTATTATCTCTGATAGTGACTGTATAACTTTGAATTGTTTTGTTTTTGAACATCTACTCTGATGGCAACTTCTACTGAGTCTGTTTTGGTTTCATCATTTCAGACGAGAAGCACATCAGGCAGTTTTCTACAAACAGAGAGAAGAGTTGCGAGAGTGGGAGAGGAAACTAAAAGAAGGAGAAGAAAGGCTGTCTGAGCTGAGGAGAACCCTCAACCAGAGAGAGGAAAAGTCAAATGAAAGTGACAAGATTATGAAGCAAACAGAGAGGAGTATTGAGGAGCTGCAAAAGAAGATTGATTTGTCCAACTTGGAGTTGCAAAAGAGAGAAAACGGTGTAAATAAAAGATTAACTGACTTGACCCTGAAAGAAAAAGTGGGCTTCATGCTGAATTGATTTTTTTAGATTGATTCATCAGTGTTTTCCTATCTAATTATTTCATTTGTTGAAATTTTTTCAGGAAGCAAGCGCATTGAAAAATACCCTAGAGGCAAAAGAGAAGGAACTACTTGCATTGGAGGAAAAACTTGTTGCTAGAGAACGAGTGAGTCCCTAAATCTGTATTTTTGCATTCTAAGTAAATAATGCAAATTATGTTTTACTGGTCTGCACCAGCAGAGAGAGTTTATGAATTTAGTTTCTCAAGATACCTTTTACTTATTAGATGGGAATGTGGAGATGAATGAAGTTTATGGGTTCCCTTTGCAATTATGGCTGTGTATTTCATGGTATTAGCTTTTAAAGTGGAATATAACATTCTCTCATTGTATGATAGCATTTCTTCAGGAATGTGTTTGTATGCCTATGCTTAGCTATATATTTGTCTTTATCTGTGTCTCTTGTGTGTATCCTTGCTGCCAGTTAGTTAACTAATTGAACAGATCACCATGATGAATTGATTATAATTTCATCACTGTGTTTTCTGTCTGAAACTTGTATTTCCGGGATCCTCTACAGATGGAGATTCAAAGTTGTCTTGATGAGCAAAGGGTCATTCTAGATACTAAAATGCAGGAGTTTGAGTTGGAATTGGAAGAAAAGGGGAAGTCTCTTGACAGGGAATTCAGAAGCAAAGTAGGTGAAGTGGAGCAGAGGGAACTTGAAATTAATCACAGTGAAGAAAAGTTAAGAAAACGAGAGCAAGCATTAGAGAAGAAGTTGGAAAAAGTGAAGGAGAAAGAGAAGGACCTGGAAGCAAGGTTAAAAGCTGTCAAGGAGAGAGAGAAGTTTATTAAAGGTGAGGAAAAAAAGCAGCAGTTAGAAAAGCAACAATTGCATAATGAGAAAGAGAAATTGCAGATTGTCAAAGAGGAGATTGATAAGATAAAGGCTGAAAACAGTCTGAAGGAGTTGCAGATTTGTGAAGAGCGTGAAAAACTTAAAATTGCTATTGAAGAGAGGTCAGAGCATATTCGACTGCAATCTGAATTGAAACAGCAAATTGACAACTATAGATGTCAAGAGGAGTTGCTTTTGAAGGAATGTGAAGATCTTAAACAAGAAAGGGAAAATTTTGAAAAAGAATGGGATGTTTTACATGAGAAGAGGGTTGAAATTAGTAGACTGCAAAGGGAATTCGGGGAAGAAAAGGAGAAGTTTGAAAAGTTGCAGCTCTCAGAAGAAGAAAGGTTGAGAAAGGAGGAATCTGCAAAGCAGAATTATATCAGTAAGGAGCTTGAAGCCATTAGACTGCAGAAAGAATCATTTGAAGCCACAATGAAGCATGAGAAGTCAGCTTTATCTGAGAAAGCTGAAAATGAGCACACTAAGATGCTTCGAGATTTTGAGCATCAGAAGATGAAACTGGAAACAGATTTGCAGAGCAGATTTAATAAAATGCAGAAAGATATGCAGGAGAGGATGAGAGCATTTGAGGAGGAGAAAGAGAGAGAACTTAACAGTATCAGACAATCAGCAGAAGAGGCTGAGAGGGAAATGGAAGAAATAAGGTCAGAAAGGTCTGCATTAGAAAGAGAAAAACAAGAAATTGCAATAAACAAGGACATGCTGAAAGATCAGCAGCTTGAAATGAGCAAGGACATTGATGAGCTTCATGCCATCAGCAGCAGGTTCAAAGATCGTAGACAGTTTGTTCGTGAAAGAAATCACTTCCTTGCATTTGTGGAGAAGCTCAAGAAATGCAAGGATTGTGGAGACATTATGAGGGAATTTGTACTCTCTGATCTCCATCTGGTTGATTCTGTGGACGAACAGCTTCCTTCACTGCCACAAATGGCTGACGAACTCTTTAGGGAACATCAAGGTAACATAGGTGTTTCTGGTGTTACTGATATCAAGGGATCTCCAAGTGTTGGTATGGAGTATCCAGAATCTGCAGGGCGCATGTCCTGGCTCCACAAATGCACATCAAAGATTTTTAACATATCTCCAAGTAAGAGAGATGAATGTAAAGGCCAAGCACCTGGACTGCTTACTAGTAAAGAAGCTGGAGAGCATGGAGGTGAACTACAGCCATCTTTAGGGATTCCAAGTGACTCAATGCATAATCGGCCAGTCCAATCTGATGCAATAAGAGAGGCAGATGACGGGTTTGTTCAATCCCTTGATGATCAGAGTTACCTGGATAGCAAGGAGCAAGAAGGTCCTGAAGATTCCCAGCAATCAGAGCTTAGGACTGTTCGAAGAAGACCTGGTAGGAAACGTAAATCTGGATTGAATCGGACCCGCACAATGAAAGCTGTGGTTGAAGAAGCTAAGGTTATTATTGGCCCTGAAGAACCTCAAGCTAGTGAGAGCATGCAGCCTGATGAGGAAAATGCAGGTACCTCCAGTCATACTGTGAAAAGGACTCGTAATCGTGCAAGTAAGCGGCCTAGAGAGAGTGAGTTGAATGCTGCTGATAGTGAAGAACGTTCTGATGCTGTCATAGCTGGTGGACATGAGAAGAGGCTGCAGGGAGTTGCTCTGGTCCGCCAAACCCCTTACAACCTCAGGCGGCATAAGACGTAAGTTCCTATTTTTTCCCTGAGTTGTTTGGCATGTAGACTACTAGTTTAGAAGTGCCATAATTTGTACATTGTTGCTGTTATAGGAGTACAGAGGTCTGATGAACTATGTTTGGGTTGAAATGTGATACCATTTAATTTATACAAGTATAAAGGGAAGAAAATAATTCCCTTAATTTTTCTGAAGGATAATTTTTAGTTTTTTTTTTCCCCCCTGATAGTTAATTGTATCCATTTATTAAAATACAAAAATAATTTTTTTTTCAAAATATAAAGAAAAAAAAAAGAAGAAAGGTTGACTTGTATATTTGTTATAAGTGTGTATTCTTAAGCCCATCACAGGGACTGTAAAATTCATGCTCAACCAAACATTGTGCTGCCTAATTTATAGTGCTTGGAAAATAGTATTTCATTCTTTTTGCTGTCATCAAGCTGGTGGTTATATAGTTTTACTTCAGGCCATTTTTTGGGTGTGATTTTCTTCTTGTTTATTTTAAAGGATGGGATATGTATTTTGAGCAGTCAAAACTATAAATGTGATATTTTAATAATCTATTATCATAAGATGGAGATTAGTTGTCTAATTAAATTCATTAACATATTTCTATAAAAGATCCCTCATCTTTCTTTCTTCTATCTGATTGAATTATTGGTAAACTTTTTGTAAATGGTGGAAATAGATATATTTTTAAGAAGATGATCCTGCTAAATTTCATTTATTTTTTTTGGTTGATAAAATGATCCTGCTAAAATTCTACTTAACTGAATCTGATTAATTGGCAAAATCTTGTTAAATATGGTTTGTTTAATTTGTTTAGAGTATGGTAAGTGTGTACTGTGTAGAGTGAAGACCCAGCCATGCTAAATCTTATTGCATAACTTAACAGTTCAGAAGCAGCCATGCCTTCACAAGCCTCATCTGACCAGAAGACGAGGGAGGAGGAAGCTGATCCAGGTGTCCCTCAGGGCATAGTGACAGGGAAAAGAAAAGTCACTCTGAAAACTGTGGAGATTTCACAAGAAATGGTTGTTGGGGTAAAAATCTTCCCTGTTCCAGTGTCTGTTTTGACTTCAAGCTGGATTTTTCAAGCTATATTCTTAACAATAATCTGATTTTTTTTTCTTCTTTTGCAGTCTAAACCAACTGCAGATATTGATGATAATGGTGATGCAGCAAAGTCAGTTGAGAATGTGGTGTTGAGCGAAGAGGTAAATGATACACCCCCTCAATATGATAACCAAGATGAGAATGGAAGCACAATCCATGAAGAGGATGATGGCTCTGATGATGACGTAGAACATCCTGGTGAAGTCTCAATAGGGAAGAAGATCTGGACCTTTTTTACGACATGAGGACTACCTACTTCCCTTCCTTTTTCTTTTTCTCTTTTTCCCCCTTTTCTTTTAGCCTGGATGTCTTCAATTCTTCCCATTCTAGTTATGACAAAGAAAGTTTAACTAGAAAACTTTAGGTTCAGCTTCTGAAATATTTCAAGGCATTGTATCTTCCTCTATTTTTCTTGTATTTTCAAGAACAGGGTAGAAAGCTGTACAATCGATTTCCCTGACAGGCATGGTCCCTAATTCACGTTGCGTTCCAAAGTTCTTCATCTAACTCCTCCAGGGCATGACCATTCGTACTTTTTTATTCATTTTGTTTTGAAATCATTACCTGATCAAGCATTATCATTTTGTTTTTTGAAATCATTTTGATGTGGAAATGTTCATTCTCTTGAGAAAAGTTCTTTTTCTGTTGCATCTCCCTCAGATAAGTCGTTGGCTTATTTGCCAATTCCAGCTGCTACCAACCCAGCTGAATCTGCCGTAAAAACCTTGGATCTCTGAAAGGCAGTCTGCCCTGTTCGGTACTTCTTTCTGTACCCTTCATAGAGAGAACCCGGTCGTTATTCTGATGCAGTTTGCCTGTGGGAATTGAGTGATTATGGTAAATTATTATTAACTACGTACATTATGTCATGCTGCTATGATTATCTTTCTGAATCTGGTGAATGGATTAATGAGCAACAGGAAACTAGGTGTTGCATCCCAATTCGATATTGGCAGAAGAAGCAACCCTCCAGAGCTAACCCCAGTTCTCTTTGATGTGGCTCTGCTTCAAAGAGTTTGTATGCATTTTATTCTAAAAAATTTCCATAACTAAAGCAGCTAAGCCTTTCGTTGTGACTCCTAAACCGAAGTAATACCTTAAAGATAAATAGAATATATACAATATTTATTTTAATTAATATTTTTTATATTTTTAAAATAATAAAAAAATATTACCATCATGCAACCACAACATGACACAATAATGATGTAATATCAATTTGTACGGTCTTTGATCTTTCTCTATACAATAGTTGTACTAATATATTAGGTTAAAGTATCATTCTAATCCCTCAACTTTTTATTTTGTATCAAAACAGTCCCTAAACTTTAAAAAAGTATCAAATTATCCTTAAATTTTTATTTTTATACCAAAATAATCATTCTGCCAGTTAAATAGACAAATCATATAAATCCAAAAAGGAAAACTTGCATTTTTTTTAATCAGTTAATACATTAAAAAAAACTAAAATTACTTAAATGCCCTCATCCTCATCGTCCAACCTTTCTTTCTTCTCTTTCTCCTGCACCTGCTCCAAGCTCCCAGCAAA